GGGCGACTTCCAATCCTGAGTGCCTCTGGCGCGAGGGGTTGGAAGTCGCTTGGAGGGCAAAGACATTTAGTAACGCTTCATTCACAATGCAAACTTAAATGTAAACATAACGTAGCCGCAATACCTAGAAATGAGTTAAGTGAAACCATTCACAATGCCTTGACGTAACTGTAGACTATAGCCGTAAACTTAAAAGAGTTCCTTAACACCAAGCTAAAGGTTACGTCGGGGTAAGGTTACGTTCGGGTTACTTCAGAATTCTACCGACGACCAATCAGTGAGCAGCATCAAGGACACAACCATGGATTGTGTTCAGATGGTTTGTGGTTGTCATTTCATTACTGTTATGTAGTGAACTAGTTTGCGAACTGTTTTGAAGCGAGTAGTGAATTCAAAGTAAGAATTTTGGTAATTTTTCTTGTGACTTTAAATTGACATGGCGAATAAAATAATTACATCCAAAGAACCACTCGTGAATTTGGTACAAGAGAATCTTTGTTTATAAAGTAAAGGAAATGCGAGCACTAATACAATAGCTACTCGCATTTAAATATAAAGGCAAATCGATAAGAAAATCGAAGAGAAAGCTAGAACCCATGGTGGGAAGGTCTTTTCACCATGTTGGAAACGAATCGATAATTGATCAAGCTTCAATAACCTGAAATCTGACTGGCTCAGGCGAAACTTACGTTCCAGCTCACGTTCGTCATTGTGAATGCTTATTTTTACGTGTAAATTTTACTGCAAAGTTTACGGCATTACGTTACATTTAAGTTTGCTATGTGGTACTTACAAAACTAGTTTGTTGCTTAATCACACGAGAATTTGAAACATTTTATAACTTTTCTGGCGTCTAAACGTGAAACGACGCATTGCCTTCGTCATTTGTCAATATGACAACAGATAACACAGAATGTGTATTTAATTACTACTGCATACTCGTTAGTGGACTGATTTGTTCGTACAAATGAAAGAATACTGTAAAATTCCTGCGGGAATTCTTGCAAAGCTGATTTAACTCGGGACAACGTTTTCCAGAAAAACCTCTAGAAATTTATGAAAATGATAATAGTGTATTTGAAAATTATATGGAAAATGACAGTGTGAATTGCATCGATGAAACAGCACTTTTATGTATTTGCCTCTGTCGCCAAAAGTTATTTTGAATATTTCATAAGTTAAAAAAACAACAAACAAATATTTCGAGCATGTTAGCCGATGTGCCTTACACATCGTATTACTACTAGTAGTACTGCTATTCAAAAAGCACATAAAATATCTCTTAAAAGAAGTAACAGTGAAATATAAGTGATGGCAATTATAAATTCACGGGAACATTCCAAAATTGCCATTTTCATATCAATTAGGCAAAATATAGATTATAACGAGTTATTTTTTTTTATCTGAGCGTTAAGCCATTTATTTATTGTATTTGCTTGTATCTTAACTTTAATAAATAGAATTATTCAAAAGTTGTTAAGTATTCAAAAGGTCCTCGGGTATAAACTACCAGAAAGGCCCGCAAGGGTATAACAATATCCTTGTATGCTTTATTTCAGACCCCTAAATACACAGCAATGAACTAGTAAACCACAAAAATATATTAAAATATAACCATAAATATGACGTACAAACTTTTGGGTTGCATTTTCGAAAATGTAAAAATTTTACCGCTGTTTAAATAACTATTAAATTGAAAATATATTTTTAAAATTTAGCACATTCACAATTCACCCCTTTTCCTTTGGCACCCCGTGAAGTCAATTCTACCTGCTAAAGTTACTTATAGCCTGTCACAAAACCTGACAAAACTAAACTAACACTTCCTTCCTATTTGTTGCTATATACGCATTCGTTTTCTCGTTCTTTTTGTATAGCTTACGCTTCTAATTCACAATTTACAAAGAAGACAACAATTAGAAGTGAAAAATCTCTTTGAGACGATTGCAAGTATACGGAAATGGAATCAAAGAGATAAAATATGACAAAAAATAGGAACACTCATGGAAAAATATGACCATAATTTGAAATATTAACGGAAAATGACAAAAGGGTTTTAAAACTTCAAAACTGTATATAACACGTGAAAATTGCCTAATTTTAGTTATTGTAGATACAATCATTCTTAACTTATATTTTCCGTAGTCGTAACACAAAGAAAAAAAATGACCTCCGGCTCTAATTATAAAACTCTAACCCTCAAAATATAATTTTCCAGTCAATTAGACAATTTGCAATTTTATATTGACTAAACGGTAAGAATTAGTTAAAAATTAAAAAAAAAAGCTTAGAAAACCTTTTCAAAACTGGGAGATCGTCTTAATATCTAGAGTCGACTTAAATTGGAGTAAATACGGTAATTCTCCAAAATGTCAGCTTGGTAAGGGGAAAATCATAAATTGATCACATTTATGAAAAAAATGTATTATTACGGAGCTCCCCACGATATTTTCAACGACCCCTTGTGAGCACGCATGTGTGGGTTCGGGTCCCCGTGTTAGGGACTGCAACGCAAGGACCGACGGCCTCCCACCTCCTTCCGCGTCACAGCCCCTCCGACCGTCGCTCGCACCGCCCTCCGCCGCAGGGGTGATGGCTGTGAGCTGCCCTGCGACCTCTGCCATGAAGGGCCACTGAAGGGCGCCGGTTGAGGCGGCGGCTGAAGACCCACCAATGAGGCGCCGCCGGTAAAGGTGTTGGCGAGACTTGGTTCAGAAGGCTGTTGGTCCCGTTCAGAAGACAGATAGAACCTGAATCTGCCAAATACTTAACTGAAAGTCCTGTTATTAAAAGAGTTCTTGTCCCAACTAGCGTCTCTCGCTCCACCAACTAGAGCAGTAACTCCGGAAACGATGCTTTCTTGTTGGTGCGCAACAATTTCCACTGCAGAGTATCGGGAACAATGAACAATGATTCACTGAAATCCTGTGGGAATGCACTGTATACTGCAGATTTCCCTTCTCTTACCTTAGATTTATTACTGACAAATTACTCAGACTAAAAACCAATGGTGCTGCAGAATGTCACTGACTTCCCCGAACTAGTTCGCTTTTTAGACTGTGTAACACATATTTTAGTATTGAAGTATTATTATCATAATTTTACAATTAACTAACCAAATGTGTATGCAAATGATTAATACATATTACACTGGTTATGTAAGTGCATAAGAAGAACATTATGAAAAGAAAATAGAAATTATAAATATCAATTCTCATAATTGCATAATTCAGATAGATTTCACAAAGTCTGCGTTGTTGTTTTGTGGTATACTCGACATTATTCTCCCGTGATTGGTCAATTCACTCGGTCACGCATGTTCTCAACATCATTTCAAAATTATTTGTATCAATCTACAATTTTACATCATTAATGACAGCGGAATAAAATTAATTCCTTATACAAACATTTTCTAACCTTCACGCGATGAAAATCATAGTTAACTTCAAAAGCCAGCCAGCTGTTACTGCTATCCAGTTGACTCGCGGAAGAATATTTTTACGCAGAGCGATGTGGTCTTCGGCGACGCTTATTTGTCATAGAAGCTGCCAGAAAAACTTCTGGAGTGCACGCTCTGTAAAAACTGCAACGCAATGACCGTTGACCTCCCACCTCCTTCTGCGTCGCAGCCCCTCCGACCGTCGCTCGCACCGCCCTCCGCCGCAGGGGTGATAACTGAACCCTACGCCCTCTGCCATGAAGGGACACTGAAGGTCGTCGGTTGAGGCGGCGACTGATTACCCAATGAAACGCCGCCGGTTAAGGCGTTGGCGAGACATAGTTCAGAAGGCAGTTGGTGCCGCCCGCAGGAAAGCGATTTGCTTGGTGCTTTAATCTTACGCTGGAGAGCGTTGGTATTGTTTGATTAAATTCTTTCTAGATTCTTTCTCATATTTCGTTTTGAAATTCGTCGGAACAGACCAGTTAGTCGTATCTGCAAAATACTGGATTTGAAATTCCCTGTTTTCAAGAGGGCCCAATTCGCGTGACTGCTCTCGAATGCACTATGTCTGGAATAACCCCGGAGACGGCTCTCCTCCTTCCGCGCGCGGGCGCCCTCGTTGTTGGCGCGCAACAAATTAAAACTTAATAATGCTAAAACAGCACGTACTTTCTCACCCGTACTTTCACGCAGAATTGCGCGAAATGTACTCAAATTTTTGAAAAATTGTACATGACCTTATTTCAAAATCTATCTTTGAGAAACAGATTTCATTAAGGGGAAAATCTATATCGTCATTAGTGTAGTTGTAAGAAGAGCCGAAAAAAAGAATTGATTTTTTTCTATTTTCGAAAATCAGGTTTTTTACCGAACATGAGACCTGCATCAATGTACCCATGAACCCCCCCCCGGACCATCCCGAGACAATTATGGCGGGCACGCCTAAACGGCAGCTGATTCAGCGCCATAATACGGCTAAACGGCAAGTGATTCAGCGCCAGTTGGTGCAGCTGCGCCCTCCAAAGTGCGCTGGCTGAAGAGAGGCGTATTGTGGCCTGTCTAGAAAGCCGAACTAGTTGCCGTTGCGATATACTTTCCTGCACTATATTAATATATTTTATATATCATATACACATACGAAACTAATTATGGTTTTTTTAAAGTAGCCCCGGAAAAAATAAGAACACTTGTGTTGCAATATCTCTTATAACCAAACTGAACTCCGATTAAAAAGTTTGACTTTAGATAACTAAAGTGGATAAACTTCTTTTTAAAGTAGAAAAAACTAATCAATTTGTCCAGTCTTGCTCTAATATAAAATCAAATATTTCCCGCGCGTCAGAATTACCAACTGTAGACACCATGAGAGATATATATTGAAACAATGTGAAAAATCCTTACTATCTACAATTCTTTTTCAAATATTTATCGTCTACTAAAATTGGCACGGGAGAATTTTATGTTGGTAGTATTATTGTAAGGTATATCGATACGTGCAAACCTTCTTCTGTTTACTTAATAATCAGAATGGCATTTCAAACATCTCTCTTGAACAGGTCATGAACAACGAGTTGTGGAAGGAGGGCTCTGGTGGACTCTGATCTTGGAACAACCTGATCAGCTGATGAGAACAGATGAGCGAATGTAAATAATTGTATGTGATTTCTCGAATTGTTATTTTCACCTTACGACCAAGTTTTAGTCGTGCGTAGAGGGGCAAAGTTAACCTCAATTTAATTTTTGCATTTAGGATTTTTGCATACGATTCATCACCGTATTTTTCATGTGGGTCCTGTTACATGGCATTCTGATCAATTCTGAGATATATAGGCCTTAGTAAAGATTTGCCAAAATATATCAACTACTAGAAAATTGAATGATTGTTTGTTCAAGAATATTAAGGTATGTGTATAATGGTACTACTTCTAATTATTTGTTCTTATTGCACCATTGGTGTCGTTTTTAAAACTTGTTGCTGGTAATAATTGATCATTTTAATTTTTCAGACAAATGCAGAAACGACTTCTTGTTGCTTTTGATTTTGACCACACAATTGTGGATGATAATACTGATATTGTGGTCCGTGAAATGCTTCCACAAGAAAAAATATCATCAGAAATTAGTGATTTGTATAGCTCAGATGGTTGGACAGTATATATGGGAAAGATCTTCGAACTTTTGCACCAAAATGGCATAACGCGTGAGGAAATTCAGACTGCTATTCGTGACATACCTATAACTCCTGGTTTTGACAATCTTTTGAAGTTTCTTCTTGATAAAGATTGTGAAACAATTGTCATATCAGATTCAAACTCAGAATTTATAAAAGAGTGGTTAAAAGGAGCATCTCTTGAACACACCATTAGGTCTGTGTTCACAAATCCTGCCAAGTATGATTCAGAAGGATGTTTACATATAGACATGTATCATGTTCAAGACTGGTGTCAGCTGAGCACAAAAAACTTGTGCAAGGGATATATACTTGAAAATTATGTTAACAACAGAAAGGAAGAGGGAATTGATTTTGCAAGAACTGTGTATATTGGTGATGGAAAAAATGATTTGTGTCCGTGTCTTAAGCTTTCTGCAAATGACTTTGCATTTCCTCGAAAAGGTTATGCATTGATGAAGTATATTTATGAACATCCAGTAAAAGCAGCAATCCATCCATGGAATACAGGAGAAGATATTATTGGTGTTATTTCAAAATTACTGTGAATGTTTTTACTTAAAAATATTTTCGAATTTAGAAAATAAATTGACTCTTTTAAAATTTCATGTGTGATAGCTTCATCTGAAGGCCCAGTATGTATGTGATGAAATTTGGTCTGTCAAATTTATTTTTCTTAAATAATTTCTTTGTATTTTTAACTTCTATCATCATTACTGTCTGTATTTATTTTCTCAGTCTTATTAACTGTGAAAGACAGTATTAATATTACGTGTAACAAATGTATGTATTTGGATACATTGGCTTGAATTTTATATTTTGACTTGAATTGTCTATTATACATTTATTGGCTATTAAAATAATGATTTGAAATGACTATGTAAGAAAATAATGGAAAGAAAAGGACAACAAGTAATTTAAATACACGTGTTGAATTCAGTATTCTGGTTGTTTAATTTCGTCGTTATGGAGGGCGTTTCGACTATTTGGAACTCTCCATTTGGGAATTTTGGACGAATCTACAGGATGAAAAATATGGGCGCTAGTGTCGTCTTTGCACAATGTTCACCAACATTGCACGATAAAAATGAGGCATATTTAAAGGAAATATTGAAACTCAAAGATTTATGATATACAGGCTTATGTTACACGAGCGTTGCGTAACGCGCGTCACCTAACGCTGATGGCCTCAGCTGCGTCTTTAACTGTGTACACGAGTCACTTAACGCGCGTCGTAAATTGACACTGTACCTTATGCAAAACGACAGATGAGCGCTGTTGGTGACGCATTCTTGGTAACGCGCGTCACTTACAGGGCGTCGCACCTTTAAAGCTAGAAAACGCGCGTTATCTTGCCTCGCGTAGCTTGTGCTGCGAGTACAATGCATGGGTCTTCCTTGAGCTGTGGGTTCAACGCACGTCGCCAAGAGCACTCGTGTGCCGTTTGGCATAAGATAGTGTTAATCTACGACATGCATTTAGCGACTCGTGTGCACAGGCTTCGTTTACGCAGCTGACATCATCGGCGTAGGCAACGCGCATGAACGTAACGCTAGTATGTTACAAGCCAACAGGACTGACAGCATAGTGTACGAATATCAGTGCTATCTTTTCCACTGGGAGGGACTTCTAAGTAACAAATACTAATGTACTTCAGCTACCGATTACGATCAGGTTTTCGTCCAATTTCTCTGATCCATTGAGCACGCACTGAGATGACCCCTTGTGTTGCTTCTGAACATCAATGTAGCTTCATTATGTGCACATTTTGTTGAGGTCACCCTTTGTTTAACCCTGAATTTAAAATTCAGCTTCAATTTGTTGTTAGTTATAACATATTCAATTAGGATATTGAATGACTTGTGTTGCTGTTGAAAATAAGTAAATATTTCAATTTTTAATTTTGTATGGGTATCCAGGGGTTGCTAAAGCCCCAAAAGACCCCCGGATGTAACGGTTACGTGTTGGCTAAGAAGTAACTCCTTGTGATGGCATGTTTCCCTGGTGTATGTTTAGGTCACAGCACTGAAGGGGCAATGATGTATAATTCTACATCTTGACATTCTATGTTGACTTTAACAAACAAAAGAACATTTCTTTTAAGTGCTAATTGAGCTGTGTTGTGTGACTAAACTATGGTGCTAATGTTTCCAATTTTTATGTAGTGCTGAGAATGGATTTTGTCTGCAGTTAAAAATATATATATGTATATCGGAATAGTTATGGAAAATTGCAATTCAAAAAGATTTTAGTATCAAATATTGTTCAAAGTGTTCTTATTAGTTATACATTTTTAATATTATTGTTTCATAAAAACATTTTCCTTCTACAGTATTTGGAGGCAAGCCTGGCAATCTTACCATGACATTTTTTAAAATATAATAATAAAGAAAGTCATTTGGGTGCCGTGGACAAGAGTGCATTTTGGCCAATGTAAGGAATTCTGAACTTCAGAAGGAACCCAATAAATTTTCAAACAAACTTGATAAATATCATAAATAAGAAACATCGTTTTTAAATATTACTATTACTACACACAAGCATTTTAAATATATTGCAACTCCCAGACATTTAGAGACCTAGCAGCTTGGAGTTTGAACGTAACTTGGCTCCTGCACAAATACACCCATCTATCAGTGGAAAACAAATTCCACCTCAATTGCTTTAAAAAAAAAGGAGGGAGCTCATTCATTTGACACTAAGTCTAAATGTCTGGCCCCAGCCATAGATAATTTCTGATGTTACATAAAATTTATTAAGCATTATATTTATTATAATATTGTAATGATATTATAATATTATTATAATAATAGTATGCCTCCATGTCCTGATGATGACAACAATGTGTTTTGTGTGAAGCATGAAGCCGAAGGACAGACCTACACTATTGTACTTTTTTATTTGACAGATTTTCTTTAGTAAAATTTCTGTGGATCTGAACTAGCCGCTCTCTTTTTGAACACACGAGAGCTGTGATAAGGTCTTCATTGTGAGATTCTCCAATGATTGGATGATAAACTTTGAGAGAAGAATGGAATAGATTACTCTCTCTGCCCCTTGAGTAAATATGGAGTTGTTTTAATGTTCCTCCTATAAGCGCTGTGGGTTAAAAGAGGGAGCAACGAACTATAAGGTCCAAGTCATGAGTGTTAAACTGTGGTAGAGGAGAAGGAGAAGCTGCAGCTTATTGGCTCATACAAAGTGAGCAGGCATAATTAATATTCCTCAACATAATAGATATCAAATTTATAATGATTTCAAAGTAAATAAAATGTGTTCTTGTTACCAAAGATTTTAGAGATAAGCTTACTGGAGGCAATAGACAAGTTATTACCCTATAGACTGTATTGTATTTAACTACGAGCAAGAGACAGGGTACAAACTTGTTTTATTGCAACTTGAATTATTAGCGTGTTTCAAACCTATGTCTGACAGCATGAATAAATTGTCTGTTTTTTTCTGAGAAACCACCTCACTTCATTTCATATTATCACCCATTAGTACAGATGAACTTCAAGAGCAAGGAGTGCTAACAAAGAAGAAAAAGGTAATTTCGTTGTATTCCAAAATGAAGTATTTATTTCCACTACACAGAAATGATGAACAGAAATAAATGCAAGTAAAAAAATTTCAATTGAAACATTTATTGTATGTATGTGGGTGCACTATACATGAGGGATAATATACACGTAAGGTTAACATTAATGTAGAGTCCAAAGACTCTACAAATGAACTTCACTATTTTTATTGTACCATTAATGCGTTTAGACATCACTCTCACTTTCATGAAAAAACAATTTTGAAATAAATGTGTTTTTCTAAAAACAAATGGAAACAATTTTTAATAAGAGGTAAACAAATTTTCATACGCTAGATTAGGAGATACCGTAGAAAATTACATGAAAAATACACTTTCTTACAACACCTTACATTACTTCATATAATATCAAATTTTCTTATAACTAACACCATTTGCAGTCTTAGAAAATGCTCCTGACCTGATTTAAAAGATGTCTTTTAAGACAATTATTCATCAGATCATATTACAGAATAGTGCTAATTACAACTGTTCTGTAATATAGTAATACAAGTTGTTGTTTTTTTCATACTCTCACATTCAGAAAATGTTTTTAGAATCATTTCTTTATGAATGTTTCCAACAATTACAATGCATTTTATTCTGTACATTTCAGCAATGACTGTCCATTCATGGACAGAGCCAAATGTACAGTTCAGTTTGTATTCATGACGCAATGACTAGTAGGCAGGCCACTCTAGTACAACTGACCAGTTTCAGCAGTGAAGCCTCTGCTTTTATATATAAATATTGATCGTTAAAGTAGCTCTCTTAACTTTATCCTTCGTTCTGTCAGTTGTGCACTTTAGAGTAGCTTGAGAGAAGAGGTGATCAGCAGACCATGCTTTGCTATTTAATTTCTTCAACATATGTTGCTGGAAATATGCCTACAACACCATTCAGTTCACCCAGCCACCATCCATCAGCTTGTTTCTCGTGAATGTTTATAATATCTCCTGAAAATTGCAACATATTCAGTAATTTGCATTCTTCCTAACAAGTATACCTGAATCTTAAAACAGATTTTTATTCTCACCAGGTCTCAAATTCAATTCATCATATAGATTTGCAGCATATTCATAGAGAGCTCGACAACGCCCTCCTGTCACTGGAGGGGTTTCATTACATTCTGAAATGACTGGGTAAGTCATAACACTACTTTGGTAGTCTTTCTCACTTCCTTGGCTTGAGAATTCATCTATATTGAAGTGAAAAAACAATTACTAATTTGATTTCTTTGCAAACAAAGTAAATGACCAATTTTTATGTGTAAAAACTATGTTTATTATCTGAAAGTAAAATTTGTATGCCACAAATTGAATTATAAAATCATACGCACTAAATTGAGAGTAAGCATGCTAATGTAAAAAAGAAACTGATCAATAAAAATCATCTGAACCACCCACCAAAGTCGCTGTCAGGTTGAACAGAATTTCCATCCCCTGCTCCTCTATCTGTCCAGTCAGGGGAGTCTCCAGCCAACTGATCAAGAGATTCTTTTCTTACCCACGGTGGAACCTTGAAAAGAAACAAAAATGTCACAGTATTATTTGGTTTAAAATTGTTCATTTTTTACAGAAATCAATGTTTTCTTGTTGTTGTTGTCGAGGTTTTAATTTGTTATTTAGTTAATAATTAAAATTAATCAATGTTATTGGTTTCTAACATTCTTGGTTACCAATATGTAAGAGTTACATAATTCAAGATTTAGTATTTACATGCATTTATTGCTTTTTAGTAAAAAAACTGAATATGAACATCACTTACTTTGAGAACACTTTGCTGTAAACCTTGTTTGTCTCGTGTAACTTGAATATGTGGTGCTAAAGGATGGCTCCCTCTTGCCCTGCCATCTATTTCAGCTAGTGCACTGTGTACTTTGTATCGTGCTGCTTCAAGATAGGTAAGCATTGAACGCATCTGTGAACAAATATGTCAAGATCACCTTAAATTTAAGACAATCTGGAAAATCTCTGTATAAATTTGTTGAGCTATGGCAAGGTATTTAATGCATAAAACTTGCATTCTTATCACTTAAAATTTATTTGTATTATTTATTATGTTATAGAAGAAACTAAATAGGAAAGTATTTTTTTCTAGTTAAATATAATTAAGGATCAAGATGAAAATGTGAACAAAGATAATCAACTTATACGAGTCAATTTTACTCACATGGTGAAGTTTCTCGGAAAGGTTTTGCTGAGAATCTTCAGCTCCAAAATTTGGAGTTTGTTGTAGAGCTCTGGCCAAACTTTCAACTCCTTGTTTTCCTCTTCTCTCTCGTTCTAGGTCTTGCCTGATTAATTGCAGTATTTTAACTAGTGCCTAAAAATATTTCAAATAAAATAAGAAACATTAGCAAGATGAAATATTTATTTAATTTATAATTAATTATGTAATTTATTCATAATAAAATCAAATGTTTCAAAAAGAACAATAAATACTAAATTTTCTCTGTCATTGCTTAGGGCAAATTAAAAATATAATGTATATAACAGTTCTGAACCTACTTGTCTTCTCCTTTCTCGATTCATTGCAAGTGTTATGTGCTCTGCATAGAAGTCGGGTAACAGTTGTTCAGGAATGGGTTGCCCTGTACCTTTTATGGACACAACAGTTTGGATATCTCGAGCAACATCGCAGTTCTGAATTGGCTCAACCAACTTTTCTGCACTCTAAATATTACAAGAACAATAGCATTATTCATATTATATTTACATTATAATTAGGAATAATAAACTTTAAAACTTTTATGTTTAAGATTCCTATGATCTTAATAATTCACAATGAAATAAGTACCAATAAGATTTGCTAGTGGGAGCGAGAGTGAATTCCCAGTTACTAGCATTTAATTAAATATTTATAGATTTTCTTTGTATTTGGAATAAATTTATCACTATGTGACATTCAGTTTGTTCTCTCATCTCCAATAGACTGGTCAATCTTAAGAAATTACCAATATAGTAGATAAAAATAATTTTTCTAATTTTTTTGCTACAAGTGTGTTTTGTACAAGAAAACTACAATAAAGAAGCCAAAAGGGGAAACCTAAAAGAAAACAAATTTTCTGCCTTTAAAATAAACAACATTTACAGATGAACAACATTTATTTATTTTTAATAATGAGAAGCTTTAGTTCAGTTTGTTCTTCATTTCGTCAGAGAAATGTGTAAGAGACATAAAGTAGAAGCAAAATTGCATTCATGACTTTAAGCAAAATTGTTACCTGAATAAGTTTAGGGCCCATATCCTGCAAGTGATTCAGATAGCAAGCTGCCAAATCCTTCAGCTGCTGCAATCTCTCCTCTTCCAGAGCTTGGAAGCAGTGGCTTCCTCTGATTACAGCTGTTTCCCACTCCAACCTATGAAAATACAATTATTTTGATCAACATTATTACAGGAGAAAGAAATGGAATAGTAATTTGGTGTATAATGGTGATATCAATTAAATCAAGATTTGTTAAAAGTTAATTCAATGATCACCTTGCTCTTTCTGCACGGATACAAAATGTGTAGTATTCTACATCAGCTTTCTTAACATGCTCTTCAGCTTTCCTTCTCTTCGATTCCAACTGAAAAAAATATGCACAATTCTAGCAATTTACTCAAGCTAAAATGCTTCTGATAACAAAGTTATAATATGTTTTGCCAATGTTCTGAAATACTTGTACAAAAACCAAAACATTTACATACAGTTTAGTCTATGTTTAAGAATCTAGTAAAAAGTAAATAAATAAAATTATATTACCAAGTTCAAATCCATTATTTATTTTTGAAGAGCAATAAAAAGAAATAATAGTTGTGTTAGCATTGTGCCACTATGACCTGTCTGTATAACCAACATTCTTCTCAAAATATAAGAAATTCTACAGAACTGTTTAATGTTATATGGTCTAAGCACTTTCATTGACTTTTAATTTGGGTATTAATCTATACCAACTTACTTTGGCACATTCTTTATCTGAAACTTGTTTATGATTGTGATGTAATGCATGAACTGAACCAGTGTTTCTTCCCAGCCTCACATCCAAAGATACATCTTGCAACTTCTCATTTTCTCTAGCACTCAGGAAACTTTGCTTTTTACTCTTTGCCTCAGCAGTGCGCCACTCAGCTAAACTCTTGGCTGTCTTATCCACCACTGATTCAACTGATTTTCTTATGCGATGTTGCGATTCCAAAACTTGCCTCAATGGTTTGACAACTTCTTCACTTAATGCTGCAGCAAAGGCTCTGTAAGCAAGGAAGTTAATCTGAGAAACATAATTTACTCAGAAGTTTATCAGAAAAAATTTAAAAATGTTTTTTCCAGTTCTTTTAACTAAACAGCTTAAAAGATTAAAAATTTGTAAGAAATATGAGTTTAAAACATTTACCTATCACAGTTAAAAACCAACAACAATCATTTAAATGAACAAGAGATAAAAAGACTTTGATAGACACTTTCAGGAAAATAAATTTCTCAAATTTACAATTATTTAAGGCTACTCAAGTTAAAATTATTTGTAAACTGATTACAAGAACATTTAGATTTTAGATTACAAGAACCTTTTTGTAATTTTTAATATTACTATAAAATTTGATTTTTGGCAGATTGCTCTAAGCGCATAACAGAAACTACCTGTGTGCTTCACTTTGTGCTTCCATCTGAGCTCCTGCACGCTGCCATGCTTGATTCACAGAACCTACAGAATCTTTAGATGCCTTCAGAAGTTTGCCAGACAATTTGCTCAGAGTTTTGGCATACTGAGTTTCTGCTTCTGACCTGGAATGTGAATTAATGAGCACACCTGTAGTAGTTATAAAAACAGGAAAAAATATGATTGTTAACAAGTAATGAAATTCTAATGAAAATATTTATGAACCATAAATTACAAATTTTAAACACTGGCATAATGACCAATTATAAAAATTTTAATATAAATCATATTAAATTCAATTGGTAATTTTTTTTCCCTTTCTTACAATTTTTATTTCTTTGCGAATTCTGATTAGCAGAAAGTAGAAAAATTATCAATCTTCAACTTCTGGAGTCTTCTTCACTAGATAATTTAAAAAAGCCAGGAACCCTTTTTTAGATAATATATGTTTCTAATAACTTTCTCACCAAAATGCTTTTTTGTTGTGAAAGATGTGAGAAAAGATTATGACTAATGAAAAATAGTTTGGTTTTATTTTTTAAATTTTCTGACACACAAACATACTCAATTAAAATCAAACTTTAAATGTTTTCATTCATTTAATCATTTACTTATGTTTCCGCGATCAACTCATTCAGTCATTATAATCCTATTAGGTTAGCATACTGGACTGTTGTACCCTAGTTGGCGGGTTCAAACCCGATCGAAGCCGTGGATTTTTAAGGGCGAAAAAATCCTTCATCGCCTTCCTTCGGAGGGGAAGTAAAGCCGGCTGTCCCATGTTCGTAGATTTACTTGCATGTAAAAGATCCTCAAGCCTAAATGACGCCTCTGAGCTAAATTCAAATCGCCCGGTTTCTCGCCCAAGATATGCCTCCTTTCACCGCTAGTTGGTGAAAGGAGCGTAGCGAAATTTGCGTGGTCAGACGGAAGAGCAGGCCTAATGGCCTGAGTCTCCCCACGTAAATAAAGGAATTCAATTCAATTAGTGTGATGCTTGTTATAGCCGGGAGTTGGTGTTTCTGCACTGGCAGATCCGGCGCCGTTGGTTTGCGGGTTTCTCTCCTCAGGTACTTCCGGCCTGCGGTTCAGAGCCCGTTCGGGACAAGTGCTAGGCTCCCAACTGGGCCTCCGACATAGGGAGCGTGACGCACGTAAGTACAAGAACGAAAAGGAAGAGGAAGTCAAAGGGATGATAATATGCGATCCATGGCCTGTTTTGGTTACAACACTGCTCAGGCAATCGCTTAGGAGAAACGAGGGAGAACAGATCTGAGATTTACTGAACACTGACCATCAGGCCATTTAAACTCTTCCGTGGCCATCTTCATGTAGAGTGTTTAGTAGACGCGCGCAGTTGCTGATGGAAGTAAGTTGTAAATTTTTGTATTGTTCGGAATTGATGTTTACGTAAGTAAGTGTTTTCATGAAATCATACTACAATGTGGATCTTAATAATTTAATACCGGCAAAGGTGGTTCAGGGCATCATCTGATGACATGGCAGAGCCTCTGATCGGGAGATCGTACGGTTCGAGCCACGACGGTGGCAGGAATTTCGACACTAGCGTGAGAACTAGATCGAATTTAACCGCTTTCTGGATGGAATTCTTGCGAACTGCTTCTTTGGTCGGTATTTTCCGTGATTTCTCGGATCAACACCAGGAGAATGCCGGAGCTGTACCCTAAAAACGGGTCAAAAACCGCGCGCGATCTTTCTTTCCTCTTCCTTGTCCTTTTCTTCCCCGTTTCTTACACTTACATGCATTACACTACCACACATGTTGAGAGACCCGTTGGGGGCTTAGAGCTTATTCCGGTTGGAGCGGTGCTACGCTGGTGGGAGATACCTGGCTGGGAAAAATCCTTGCAAGCCGACGTGGGTCGGTGCCGGATTTCGCCAGCCAGAGAGAGATTACAGCCGCTTCCCTTGATAAAGCATGCACCATGCTTACGGGACTAATGACCGTAGCTGTAGGGGCGTCCGGATTCATCAATAAAAGCATTAAGTAAATTACTCAAAGATTGAATATTATTAATTCAGATTCTTTTTGCAAGAACTAATCTCACCGAAAAATTGGTTTCAGTAACCTTACGACTTCATACCACTGACTAAAAGACAAACTAATAGCCACATTGATTCGACTTTGTAAGTACAATGAGAAAGCGCAATTTTGGAAAGTTTAGCAGTCAACAGTTTGAGATACTAATAAAAACTATTTTTAATTGGCAAACTTTCTTCAACTATATAACATTATAAATGTCCATGCCTCTGGTTCTGTATAGAATTCGGTAATGTTTTTCTAAATTTCCAAGATTGAAAATACTGATAGTTGTTATGATAGTTGTAAAACAGAAGGGACTCTGAATGCTTGCTCTGGACACCACGAACACATAAAACATTCATACCTTTCACACTCACAGCGTTAGTGCCCAAGTACTTCTGCTCACATTCCTCAAATCCCTGTCTCATGAAGCCAACTTACTTCACCATACTAGAATTTGTAAACGGGTGACGATTATGTAACATATTTAGATAAAAAATCTATTAATATAACTGAAACTGACTTTATATGTATACGCTTCTTCAATTTATTTAGTAGAATTAAATGTAAGTATCTGAATTGTTTTTACCCTCTATTCTAGCAATAAATTTAAGGGAAAATTTGATGACACTTTTGAGAAAATTTTGAAACTACCAGAAAGTAAAAATTACTTGTTTAAATCTTTTTTCATGTATTTCAACAAAAAACAAATAAGAAATCGAATGTAGTTTTTATAAAATTCTAAAATTCAATTATAAGAAATGTGTATTAAGCACTCGGTACTTTTATTACAGTGCACTATGGGACATCATCTCCACAATAAAAGTGACACTTTTGTACAGGTGTTATTTAATACTATTTTTCAACAAATTTTTATCTGAGAAGGAATGAGATAATTCCGAAGAAAAAAAATAACTGCAGGCTCTTGGGATCCTTTTGATCATGATTTAAAGTGTTATACATATTATTTATCAAGAAACTAAATACAAGTTTAGCATTTTACTTTTATAAAAGAGGAAATGTATTTCATTGCCACAAGTATTAATGGACTAACCTTTCTTGAAGAATAGCGCTAAGGTCTTTGCAGAAATCACCACCTTGTTTGATGTACCTCCGCAATTCTTCGAAACCATTTTGACCCTGGAACATAAGAAAAATTAATAGCTTTCATAATTCTGTTAGATTGGTAAACAAGAGAGGTATTATTTTATCAACATGAGATGAATCAAGGGGGTTAATTTCATCAAATAAGATTACCCAAATTCTGCATGTAAAAATAATCTTCAGTTATTACAATGAAAAAAAGAGCAACTTAAAAGCTTATTCTAATTTGAATAACATATTCCATGCTCATTTTGACCAACACATTTCTAATCCTTCAAACAAGAAAATTGAGAGGAAAAAAATCCTCTCAAAAACTGGGAGGTGTTCTATTAATATTTAAACTTGGGCATATATAGTGTATTTAAAGGATGTTTTCACCTGCAAGAAACAAATATCAACTTATTTAAGCAAAATTTAAGAAAACGAGTTCCCTTTGACATGAACTTCTATATTTCTTTTCCTACAGCATCTCAAGAACTCTCATTAGAATTTTCTCAAAGATGTTTTTAGGCTAATCAAGCTTCTATTATTTTCCAAATATTTGAGAATTAATATGAAAAGCAATGCTGTTGGGTGTATTTGTTAAAAGTTCAACTCGTGAAATCCTTCATGAAATTATTCTTATCCACCATTTAATACCACCTTCATTGCATTTTCCCCCAATTGAGTATCAAACTGAGATCTAACAACAGTACTGTGTCTTCGGCCTTGAACTGTAAGTAGAAAATATTCATAGTGACAATAGTTCAAGTGCCTATGAGCAACAAGTAGGAAGATTTGACTCCATCCAAGTCGGGTCGCCGCCTCTCAGTAATTAAGGACTTGTATGCTGAAATTCTCTGTCTGACAAATACGAGAAGATATAGGTGATATTTGCAATCAAATGATCCCTTTATGGCTGGAGGTGTGGTAATGCCTTGTGATAGAACATCTGTCATCAAAACTTTTTGTAAAGTGCCAGCAGTATGCTTTTAGACTGGGCCCCAAAGGATCAGGAAGTTTGATGGCCATGGCGAAGGAAATTCTTGTTGATCGATGGTAAAAAATTTTAGTGATCTCATTTTGACATAATGATGTAGAATTTTCCTATATTACGTAATAAATGAATGAGCGAGAAAATAATTTGCCAACATCCTTTGACCTCCCCCTTCCCCTCTAATGTGCATCTGTCGTAGGGCAGATATAGCTACAAGCAAAATAAGCAGTTTCTTACCCCGCTCCCTGAAAAAACATAGGTATTCATAAAGTATTGAAAAAATCATAAACTATGTATCTGTAAAATAATTGACAATCAAATAGTCTAAAAGAAACTAAACATATCTGTAATTGTAGAAAAGAAATTAAAGAATAATACATGCTCAATTTTGTAGGCAATTTGTTGTTAATTTATTTTCGTACCCAAAATTGTTATATTATAGTTAGAGCGTTTTAAATTATATATTTAGTCAATTTGCAGAATTTTTTTCACCGGATATTATTGTATTTCGGGGACCCGCAGAACCTAAGACTATTTCACAGAGTAGCCGAAATGTCGGTCGCTCACTACCAGAGCCAAATCGTCTGATTTACTTCATAGGAAAAAATCAGCATCCCAAAGCAGCACTCGAAATCGACAGTACATCCCGGAATCGACGAACCCGACAGAACGAATAGATATTTTCGTCCGACAGCAGATGTTTTCGGAAGCCGTGGCAAAGGACATTCCGGTTCACTATGACCATCATATCCAGGGAATGAACAAATTCGCCACGTGGGATGAATCAGATCGACACTTCGGCGCCAATCGGCTGCCCTGCGGCCCCGCTTCCCTCCCCCGCAGCTTTGCCAGCGCGGAGCGCCCGGCGGCGGGGTCGGCGGTCGGCACCTTGGGCACTTTGCGGGAGCGGCGGCGGCGGCTGCGCGCGCGCCGGAACAGCCCGTGGTCGTCGTCGGTGTCGTCTCGCACCACGATGTAGCACGCGCGCGCGCCCTGCATGGCGCCGGCTCTGGCTGCTTCCTCGCCGCTGCCGCACACAGCTTTCCTTCTTCTTGTTGTTTTGTTGTTGTTGTTTTGTTGTTGTTGCTGTTGTTGTTGTTGTTGGTGGTGGTGGTGTTGTTGGTGGTGGTGGTGGTGGTGTTGTTGGTGTTGTTATTGTTGTTGGTGTTGTTGTTATTGTTGTTGGTGTTGTTGTTATTGTTGTTGGTGTTGTTGTTATTGTTGTTGTTGGTGTTGTTATTGTTGTTGTTGGTGTTGTTGTTGGTGTTGTTGTTATTGTTGTTGGTGTTGTTGTTGTTGTTGGTGGTGGTGGTGGTGGTGTTGTTGGTGGTGTTGTTGTTGGTGGTGTTGGTGGTGTCGGTGTCGTTGGTGTTGTAGATTTTGTTGTTGTTGTTGTTGGTGGTGGTGGTGAGGGCGGCGAGCTTCGTGGAGCCGCCGTCTGCCGCCCGCGCTGGGCGTCTGGCGGTGGTGTCGCTTCTCTCGGTGTGTCCAGCGAAGGAGCGGAACTGTAAGTTCACGACGGATCCCTCGGTCAGCTACCGGTTCGTTGCACGATCTCTCGAGAATGCGCAGGTGAGCGTACTGTGTTGGTAAATTCTGCAGCGTGTAGGCCAGTTTACCCACGACGCGTGATTCGTTAAAGTTTCGGCACATTTGAGGAAGTTTGCGAGTGGGTAAGACAAATGGGGTGATCGTTAGAAAGATGCAATTGAAATTGTTTTAGACGAAGAAAAAAAGCATTTGGATAAAAATGGTTTAGAAAGCGTGTCAATTTACATGCCTACAGTACAATAGCATGCACGCGATAAATTACAGTCGTTAAATAATTGTGATTAAAGAAATGTACTTTCAACATTAGCTAATGTAACGCCTTCCGAAGTTCGAGGAAAAGTAATCCATAAAAATTAAAAAAAAAATCATCAAATTTTCTTGATATTTATCCCCCATCGATTCCCTTTAGTTAAGTCTCACTTGAATGAAAATATTTTAAATATACGATATTGTTGGTTTCTGATAACATTCTACCACATACGAATGTTATAACATGCTTATAATGGTATAACAATCCCTATAGAGATTGATATATTATCTCCAAAATTACTGAAAGTAAATGCAAACAGTAAAATTTAGAAGAGAGTTTGCTAATGAGGTTCTTTACAATTCGCGAACATTTCAGCTAGCACAAGAGGCCAAACAAAAACGTCGTAACAAAAAACCTTTCCGCAAGGCGAACGTTTTTCGCCACGCAGAGAAGCTCGACCTCTTTCTCCAAGGAGACACGAGATGTGGGATCCTGGATAGAGGTCGCAGGGGCTTTTTAACTACGAGCTAATCGTTGCAACGTTATTAAGCTGCAGCGAAACGTAACATAAACTGCAAGGTTGTCAGTTCACTTCCCCATATTTTCACGAGAGATTTAGGCACGGGGCAAGAAAGCGGAACGTATGCACACTTTGTCAAGTTGAGCATTTGTGTGTTGTGAAGAACACGGTTCAGAAATAGACCAAGTAATTCTATCTCCAACCAGGAAAGACATTTCGACTCGAGTCGGGCGTCAAAGAAACAAGTTTAGAATGCCTGTAAAGAACGCTTCAGATTTTTAGCACATCCGCCTGAAGTAGCCGGGGACTCAACAGTGTTGAGAAACGCATGTCTACGGGTGCACATTGAATTGCAACCTTGGGACTACAGTATTTGCCGAAAAGCAATCTATGGCAGAAAATATACAGGATCATTCAGAATAATTGTTACACACTTCTAGGGCATTTAGGAGTGATAGTGTATGATATTTTGCCAATGAACATGTGGTGAGAAATCTCATTTATTGATGTTAAGACATTTGTCCACCAATCTGCAACGCAAATGTCATACTTTAACATCTAGTATTCGATTTTCCACAGTGTGTTCATAATCAAATAGTGATAACCTTCGAATTTACCACCTGGCCTGTTAATTTGCAATGTTTATTCTGAATCTTCTCATGCTGTTCGAATAGACACTAAACGTATTTCCATGGCACTGGCAATGGTGTATCTTGCAGGAGTGTTTGGTGAATGATATCACCATGCATTTAGGAGACGGAAATCAAAGGAGAACGAAGCTCGATAATTATCTGATCCAATCAATCAGTAGGAATTAATATTTTATATAACGTTTCAGAGAAATATTCAGTAAAATTACTGAAATTTTTTTTCTATAAACACAGGACTCTAACCTTTCTTGTAGAATTTTATGTAAACCGTTGATAATGGGAAAAATTAATAACAGTTTCTAAAAATGTGTATTTTTTTTCCATTTTGGCAAAGTTCTATTTCCAACAGGATCTTTCAGACTGTACTCGGAACAAAGTCAAGTAATATTCACAATCCAAACAAAAAATGTATAACCAAAGTTCAAAAAACTATACAAGTGAATTCACAAAGGTTTGGCACAGGACTGCTATTCTAAGAAACGGTGTGCTTGAGCAAAACGTTTCGTAAAGCCACCTAATAAAAGCCTCTGGGAAAGAGTGAAAGGTGTAGGAATTTTGACCGTCTCGAGTGGTCCGCTCCACGACTGTGCGGAGACGGCGTGGGAAGAGGGCGCCATGTGCGTCGCAGCCGGGCCATATGCTGCGCCCCCCCCTCCCCCCCCCCCCCCCCCCCCCCCCCCCCCCCCCCCCCCCCCCCCCCCCCCCCCCCCCCCCCCCCCCCCCCCCCCCCCCCCCCGCCCCGCCCGGAGCCCCGCTCCGCCCGCCCGGCTCCGCTCCGCCCGCTCGCCCCGCTCCGCCCGCTCCGCCCCGCTCCGCCCCGCTCCGCCCCGCCCGCCCCCGCTCAGCCCCGCTCCGCCCGCTCCGGCCCCGCTCCGCCCGCTCGCCCCGCTCCGCCCGCTCCCGCCCCGCTCCGCCGCTCCGCCCCCGCTTCCGCCCCGCTCCGCCCCGCTCCGCCCCGCTCCGCCCGCTCCGCCCCGCTCGCCCCGCTCCGCCCCGCTCGCCCCGCCCCGCCCCGCCCCGCCCCGTCCGCGTCCCGTCCCGTCCCGCTCCACCCCGTCCCGTCCGCCCGCTCCACTCACCGCTCTTGTG